GTACATTGTAGGGGCAAACAGATACATTCTGACAGTAAGAATCGATGAACTACCACGGCGCTCCAGCGTCGTGGTAGTTCATTGAGAACCACAAGCTGATAGCTGAAAAGGCTGCTGGAACTTGTAGTTTTCTCATTTCTCTTTCACAGATTACTGTTAATGAGTGACACCCCACACAGCCACGTTTTTTTAAAACTGTGACAACTAGTGGGGGGGGGGGAAGATCCACGCTCGCTGTCAAAACGAGGAAGTGTGGGGGTGTAGGGGCGGTCCCTGAATATGGGTGTAACATGTTACAAAAGGTGAACGTATCCTTTAAAATTGAACTACAGTTTTGTTGAGAAAACAAACATTCCCCTCCAGACTCTAGATGATCTACACACATTGTCAAAAGATCTTAGCCAACACCGTTGCAAGTTCCTACTTGCTGGTAGGAAAAGCCTCACGCAGACAGGATGTTTTTTTTTCCTCTGCTCCAGGGGAGGTATAGCAGCACTAAAAACGTGCCTAAAGCCACCTTTTTTAAATGCGTTTAGCCACATCAAGAGTTTGGATGTTCACTCATTCCATTAGCCAGAATATAAATGTATTCTGACCTTTGGAATGAATGAATGCTCAATTGCTAAACGCACCTAGTGTTTAGGTACATAAACGTGTTTTCTGACAAAACGGCCCTCTCCTGAACATGCAAGTGATGTTTTGCTGCTTTTTTTTATACTAAGCACTCGTAAAAGTCTGTGTGTGCAAGGACATATAGGCTAACATAGAGGGGTATTTAGAGACACAAAAAAAAAAAAACCCATCAAACACCTCTAATAGCTGCATTTTTAATGTCCTGCATGCATGAGGCCAAATAGTTGTTTGTTTCACCATGACCTCTTTCAGACTTCTTGAATGGGAAGGTCATCCTTCTGCAGCACCACCCCTTCAGGGGCCGCTGGAAGATGGTGGTCCCCAAAGGTTGCTCTGACCTTGCAAGCCTCTCGACACCTCTGACACCGTGGGTTCAAACATAGTTCACAAAAGATCACAATTGCAAAGACACCACACTGTATTAAAGCAACTGTGTATTTACCAAGGATTCTTAAGTCAATAGACAGAAAAGAATGTTAACCCCTTGACGCCGACTGTACACAAATATGCGGCCTCTTGGTGGCTGGGCCTTGATGCCGAGCGGCCGCATATTTGCGTACCATTTGAAAACACATATGTGCTGAGAGCACGTACCCTGCATGCTCCTAGCACTTATGTCGGTGTCTCACGGAAAGGTCCCGATCTCCCCTTCCCATCAGGATCTTTTCTGATTGCGAATCACGGAGGTCACATGACCCTAAAACCCTGCCCCGCCTCTCGGTGTCTGAAGCCCCTTAAAGGGCTGGGAGGCACCGGTGTGAAGAGGTTAATTCAGATAGCTTTCAATATAAAAATCTTTTTCAGTCTTCGTGAGTATAGAACACAGTTATGCAATGTAAATACAATCACAGTGAATCAAACAGTGGCTACCCATAGGCCTTAACAGACCTATGACCCCAGGTAAAAAAGTGCAGAGAATGACCTTTCTATGTCAAGCTGCTCCCTTAAAATCCTGATGCCACGGGCCCAGAAAATAACAGCACAACTTATGAGAACTCAGTATGTGAACAACGCAATAAGCAAATTCTGCTCCCATAATGTGCACAAATGTAATACACATAGTCCCTTATGTAGGGGGAACGAAGAGGAGAGAAGTCATGGTGGGGTAGGTGTTCAGAATCTTCAACAAGGGCCCAGAGAGATTGCCGTGCAATGGTGACCAACAATAGTGAATAGCATATGCAAAGTGTGAAGGTGTCTGCATGCAATGTATTTAGTAGTATGTTCTCTTCTGCCCACTCACCAAACCTGATAATACCCAGGCTCAAGGCAATGGGATGTCCCGGAACAGCTTCTTGAAGAATCTGTAACCAGTGAAGGATGCCTGACCATGTACCTGGTGACATTGGGATTCAGCTAGGACTGTAACGGTAACAGTAAGCAGGAACCGGCGCTCAGATCTCTCTTGCTGCAATTGTGGAATTGTGCACTTGCTGAGGTGCCGGCCTTGATAGATTGGGGAATCTTGATACTAGCAGAAAAAAACAAAACGGGGCGCACTCTCCTCGTGCATTAACACAATAACCAAAAATGTATCAAAAAGATGTAAAAACATACAAGCCATAAACGTCATAGGTCAAAGATGCCAATCGTGGAAAGCATACGTTCTTGAGTAAAGTGCTAACGCGTTTCAGAAGTTGAACTCCCTCAGAGTAATAGGTCTGTAACGGTGGCGATGAGATTCACTCAGCCGACGGGCAGCTGGTGATGATGGATCTGCCTGCAGGTGTATGGCTCACCTGCTGAAGATCTCCACGTGTCCGGGCCACGACACCTACTCGCATTCCCTTGAGTGGCCAGAAAATTCTCCACGCTGTCCAGGCCACGACACCTACTCGCATTCCCTTGAGTGGCCAGGCCCATCCTCTCAGTTGAAGGTCATGGTTCCAAGAGAGTGAGCCCTTCCTAGGGTCAGGCTACTTACCTGCTCCCCCAGCATTCTTCTCTCACCAGCCAGCTGGAACTTTAATTTGCAACAACACTGGCTCCATGTAACAAACAGCTCTCTGGACCACATGTCCCACAATTCCCTGCTCTCAGTAGTGGTTTCTCTCTTTCCCTCTCTCTGCTTCCAGGAAATGATGTTACAATAGCTAGGCTGAACACTAGAAGGGAACAAACTCGAAGCAGTCTTTATTAAAGAATGTCCCACAATGACACGGGCAAACTAGCCAGCACCTCGCTGCACTTCATTATCAATTACCTTACAATTATCTTAGTGTTCCAATAATGCTGGCCATATACATAGAGATTTGTGTTAGAAAATATTTATTTCAAGAGCGTTCATTCGATCTTTTTTTAATTATTTGGGGTCAAATGGTGTTTCAAGTCTTCAACCACTAGTTATTGGGGTCAAATTGGTGTTCGTCTTCAACCACAGTGATGGGAAAATTTGAAGGAGCAGGAAGGAAAACCTTTCTCTTCTTAATCAGATTTTTAGACAGTGTATGTGGTTTTCATTCAGAAATTACATTCATTTTAAAACTGAATGTTAAAAGCACATGAAATTTTCAAACGTCATTCCTCCATTCACCAGATGTACACATCATTTTCATACAAATAAAATCTATACGTGTATGGCCAGCATAAGACACATGCTTTTTCATTAATCAGTGATTGGCCTGCTTTGACTAGCTGATAGAAATTGGCCAGTAGTTGTTATTTCAATCTGTAATATTGTGTTGTGAACATGTGTTCCCTCACCCACAAGATAAAGAGATCCAGTACTATAAATCATAAATCATAACAGATCTTGCATTATAAAATATAATACATAAAATGCTTGGCTTTTTACATCATAAAACAACAGAATTTGCATTATAAATGATAAAATATAGAATAGTCTGGGGGCCATACAGGAGGGTCTGAAACTGTTTCTATTTCTTTTCCAGCCAATTTGGACAATCATAGAGCGTGCATATTGGCCAAAGGTTTTAATGGATGACCCCAGCCTTTTCCTGCAGAGAGACATGGAAAGTTATGGAATACTTCCAGCAGTGATGTCTCTCTGGAGTACATTAAAGAGGCAAACCTCAGGAGAATCCTGTGAATATAGTGGAATTTTCTTTTGGAACCGAATATGACAATTGTATTAACGCCTCTTAACAGGAACGCTTTAATGGCTTAGTGCTTAGCACTGTAGCCTTGCATCCCTTTGTTTAATTTGCACAAGAGGCTTTATTTGCATGGAGTTGCATGTTCTTCCCACTGGATCAGGGTTGTGGGGAAGAGGACCTTGTCCTCACCAACATGGGAACAAGGTACTTTGCTGATGATGCTGTGGCCTGGTATAGCTTGGGAGAGGGGGAGGGGTGCTCGCTCATTTCTCCCCTTGGCTACATGCTTAGCTAATGATCTTGTATGGAGTGGGGGGGGGGGTAAAAAAAAGGCTTGTCAAACACTCTCATGTTTTTATTTACTACCCCATACTTTTTCACATGGTGGGACAGAATCTAGGGGCCTCCTGATAAAGGGGGCTTTCCGATTGCAATAAGTCACCTCCCCACACTCCCAACAACCTCCCATGTTGAGGGCATGTGGCCCAATATGGCTCGGGGGGGGAAAGGTCACACACTCATCACACCCTATGCATTTTCTTTTTAGGCACTGGTATGGATTGGGGGGAAAAGCATGCATGCAACTAAAAAAAAATTATGTTGGCTCTTTTGTTCACATTCAGCCGTCAGCGAGAAATCCCCCACTAACAGGGGTGATTCATAGCTGTTTGGACAGCGGCCGGCTCCTTAACAACCAATGATTCATCTCTGCTGACTGACATTAGGGATGAGTTGCAGTAGTAAAACACGCAAAATCATTCTTGGCTGGCAGCAGTTTTTTTTTTTTGTGCGGATTGGTGGCCAGTGTTCAACGTGATTGATAGTGGATTTGTATCGGGGGACATTTGTTTTTAACCACTTGTCAACCGTGCTATAGCCTATAACGTCATATGACGTCCTCCCAGAATGCACCCTGCCGCACGCCCTGCGGGCACACACCCGGCAATCTCCGTGATCTCTGTGTCCTACGGCCACAGCTGATCACATGATGTGCTAAAAGGCCAATCACAGCACCCTTTTACCACATGATCAGCTGTGCTCAATGACACAACAGATCACCGTTAAATGCAGTTGCCAGTTATCAGCTGCGCTTTCCTCAATCTGTCACAGCGTGAGGAAAGTACTGCCGATAACTGGCAATTGTCAGAGGACGGATTGGCACCGATCACCAGAGCACTGATGATCAGTACCCTGATGATCAATGCCCAGCAGTGCCGCCCACCTGTGCCCAGCAGTGTTGACCAAAAGTGCCCATCAGTGCCACCCACCTGTGCCCAGCAGTGCCCATCAGTGTCACCCACCTGTGCCCAGCAGTGACTAGTAGTGTCCACCCACCTGTGCCCAGCAGTGCACCCACTAGTGTCCAGCAGTGCCTCCCATCAGTGCCACCCATCAATGCTGCCCAGCAGCCACCCACTAGTGCCAGCAGTGCCTCCCATCAGTGCCACCCATCAATGTGCCCAGCAGTGCCGTCAGTGCCCAGCAGTGCCCTCAGTCAGTGCCACCCATCAGTGCCACCTATCAGTGCCCATCAGTACCGCCTATCAGTGCCCATCATTGTTGCATATCAGTGCAGCAGCATCAGTGCTACCTCATTAGTGCCGCCTATCAGTGCCACCTCATCAGTGCCACCTATCAGTGCCCATCAGTGCCGCCTATCAGTGCCCATCAGTGCTGCCTATCAGTGCAGCTTCATCAACGCACATCAGTGAAGGAGAAAAAGTACCTGTTTGCAAAATGTTATAATAGAAACAAAGAAAAACTTTTTTTTTCAAATTTTTGCTTTTTTTTTTTTTTATAGCGCAAAAAATAAAACACTCTCAGTGGCGATTAAATATCACCAAAAGAAAGCTCCATTTGTGTGGAAAAAATTATAAAAATTTCATATGGGTTCAGTATTGCATGACTGCGCAATTGTCATTCAATTGTGAGACAGCATTGAAAGCTGAAAATTGGCCTGGGCAGGAAGGGGGTATAAATGCCCAGTAGGCAAGTGGTTAATAAAGGACTTGTGTTTTTTTTTTTTTTTTTTTAGGTGAATGAGTAAGGGTAGTACCCCTGGTAAAGGGGACTTTCCGATTGCAGAAAGTCACCCCCCACATTTCCAACAACCTCCCATGTTGAGGGGGGGAGGTCACACACACTCATCTTCCCCCTTGGCTGCATGCTCAGATAAGGGTCTGACATGGAATTTGGGGAGGACCCCACACCACACCCCACACCTCACACCAGTTGTTGCGAGGTTCCCCTTAAAATCCATACCAGACTGCTGAATGGCCTAGTATGGATTTTTGGGGGGGGGGGGGGGGGGCATGCATTTTATTTTTGTGTATTTTTTGGCATGGGGCCCACTTCCAAATTTCATACCAGATCCATAGGCACTTGTATAGATTGGGGGGAAAGCATGCTTGCAATTTAAAAAAAAAATGATATTGGTTCTTTTGTTTACATTCAGCTGTCAGCGAGGAATCCCCCACTAACAGAAGCCAGCTGCTTAACAACCAAAGACTCATCCCTACTGACTGACATCAAGGATGAGTTGCAGTAGTAAAACATGCAAATTGGGCTTGGTTGGCTGCATTTTTTTTTTGTGCGGGTTGGTGGCCAGCATTCATCGTGATTGACAATGGATTTGCATGGGAAGACAATTTTTTTAAATAAAGGACTTGATAAGAATTTTTGGATGGTAATCCCATGCCAATTTTTTTTCGGCACGGGGTTCCACTTAAAATCTATTTCAGACTGAGGGGCCTGGTATAGATTTTTTTTTGGGGGGGGTACTCCATGCATTTTGTTTTTGTTTTTTGGGGGGGGACCAGCATACTGTTTTTTGTTTTTTTTTCATGTTGGCTTTTTTTTTTACACTGACAGCAGGGATGACTCATTGATGTTAGGATGTCAGTGGGTGCTGGCTCCTTAACCAATGACAGCAGGGATGAGTTACTGGTTGCTAGGACATCTATAGGTGCCAGCTCCTAAAAATCAGCACAAATTGCATTCAAAAGAAACATTAAAAAACACCTAAATGCGATTTTGATGCATTTCCAGTGTAGTTTATGGACCACAAAATCACACCCCATTGCACCAAAGTAGCACAGAACCTTTCTCCAAAATCACATTGCAGTTGTACTGCATTGATGTGAACAGGCACCGGTGGAAGCAATGTTATTTTCCATTGCTGTGTGATTTAGTGCGACCCAAGTCACATTTGAAATTGCATCAGTGTGAACCAGGCCTTATAGCTCACAGTACATTAGTGTAAGTTGCAGATGTTTAAAATAAAAGAAGAAGAAAAACTTTAAGCCTTGGTTCACACCAATGCGACTTGTCATGTGATTTGACAGTTTCACCCTATTGTCGGAAATGGAACTGTTCAAGTCGGTGCGACTCCAACTTTGCGGTGCCTCACTGATTTGAAAAAAAATTCCTGCACTATTTTTTGCAATTCCAGGTACAAATTGTATAGACATATGTTCTTGAAGCTGCCCAGATGTCATCCAAATCACACCTGAAATCGCACTGACATATGGCTTTGAAATCATGCGGCTTCAACTTAAGTCACATGATTTCAAAGTCGGATCCAGTGTGAACCAGTTCTAAAGCACATTTGATGCTCAGGGATTGTCTATACCACATATGTATTTTCTATAATATTAATAAAATGAAAATAATAATAGCCATTATAATAATTAATAATAGCCATCTCATATGGTGACCAGTGAAGAAATGCCTGCTTACTTTGTCAGTCAATGGAAAAGTGCCTCCTACATTGGTGGTAAATGATGTGCCCCCTTACAGTGGTGATCATAGGAAAAGGAAATTTAGTGGAGAAGGACCTTCTTATATAGATGTTTAGCTGATAAATGGAGAATAGCTGCTGTGGTGATCAGTTGCGTAGAGACTTCTTATATTGGTTATCAATGGGAAGAATGCTCCCTTACAGATTGCTAATAAGATCAACTATGTCAGTGGTTATTTATTGTAATGGAAGAAACTGCTCATTGGTCAAGGAACCCCAAGAAACCACTAGAGGAACACTTGGGTTCCACAGAACCCTAGCTGAGGAAGGTCACCCCTATAGTGTCAGAATCATCAAATTGTATGTTCCTCAGGACATGGTCTGATTTGGAAGGGTACTGCCACATGGCTGGTTTGAATGGAATTGCCACTTTATCTGGGGGTAGGTCACGAGCCAGGAGAGGAGCACACATAAAGCTGAGGGGGCAGGAAGAGGGTCTCGATAGCAAGAAGCCCCTTTCTCCCCAGCTTGTATAGCAATTTGATATGCTATATGATTTTTTTAACGCAAGTGGAGATTTCCTTTCAAATTCTTCCTATATCTTCACCTTTCTACTTGATAGGACAGAAAAATGGAGGTGGATATAGATTCAGGGAGACTGCATTGCTTGTTTGAACTGCATAAAAGGCAAAAAAATCTGAGTAATCTGCCTAACCCCTTATGTAAATACTGCTAGAATCAGTTAGTGTACCTGTAACTTCACATACTGTATCATATGAAACTCATCCCAGACTGATCAGCAACATCATACATGACTAAATTGTTATATAAAAGCAGCAGTGTGTCTGAAACACTCATTGCATCTTGATGATGATTCCTGTCTTGCCATGACACTGAGATAAGAAATAGAGATAATTATTTTACTGCCTGGTTCATCAGGTTTACGTGTGTAAACTCGAGTATAGAGATTCTACAAGTGTCTTTGTAGACTGCAATATATTCTGATATCTTCTACTACTGTATGTCTGCTCTGAAAAATATATCACAGTTTTTAGGAATTAAAACCCAAAGATTGGCCTACTGGCCAGTGCAGAGTTCCTTCTACAAAGACATACATGGATTAAAGAACATTTTGCTTAACTGGCAATTTTTGAGTTTTGTGCTCAAAGCCCAAAATAATTGAAAAAAAAATTGAAACTGTAAAAAAGCTGCACAATTAGTTTGTCAATATTTTATGGGCATTGCAAATTACAGTGGTTTTGTATGCATTTAATAATTAAATACATTAATTAAGTTTATTTATAAATAGCTAAGTACAGTGGACATTACTTACCTTCAGTGAGATGAGTCCCTTGTGCGGCTGTGTCCACGTTTATTACAAATCGTACCCAACAGTCAGAGAATAGTGTTTACGATTTTGGTGGTAAGATGACAGAGTAGATGCAGCAAAAGTAGTGAGCAGTGATTGGAGATTGCCTTCCAAATGTAGCACCCTCTTAGTCAGCTAGGGGGAGCTAGATTTCAATTGTTAGACAGGGGCCGAGTAGCAGCCTGGTGCAGAAGTCAGAGGGGTCAAATTTAGGTTACAGGCTATGGGGGCTCTGCAGAGCAGCTCTCTGGAACATTCCCCTGCTCTGGAAATTTGGTAAGAATTCTAGAAGCAATGGGCGGAGGTGAGGAGTGGCTGATCCTTAACAGGAGGTTTGGCATGGAGGCAGGACAGCCCTTAAAAGTGACAGAGCCTGCTCAGCAGGAGGAGAGTTTGGATGGAACATGGAGAAGTGAGGCTGGAAAGCAGGAGCCTGGGTGGGGGGCCCAGATGGAGAGGGGCTCACCTACACGCAGAGGACCGTGGAGGGAGGAAAGCTCAGGACTTCACTCCCCTGTGCAGCAGGGAAGGAGCGGCCCAACTAGAAGGCTTGGTATCAGCCACCGACCCACCAGCAGCAGTTAGAAGGAGTGAGTAAACCTGCATCCCTTAGGCCAGTAAGGGGAAAGAGGCACTCTACTGAAAAAATGGATTTGCTTTCTTACCTGGGAATGTTTCATCCTGCAGTAGTAGACACTGGATCCCCTGCTCAGGGATTCACCCAGAATAGCTGGATGAAGAGAGGATTCCTCTAGGGTCTTGGGTGATACAACAGGAGATGTTGGCTAGCTCTCCAGAAGCGTTTTTGCTGTAAAGATGTGTACATTGTTGCTAAAGAGTTTGTCCTCTGTTGCCATTACCTTTGTGTATCCCAAAAAAATCCAAAAAACAAGCTCAATGACTAGTTACTGTCTTGTAATGCAAGTCTGAATGAAGAAAATCTGTGTTGCCTGGCTGTGCAGGGACCCAAACTTCAGCGACTCTTAAAGGGGTAGTGCTACACAAATTTAAAAAAAACTTCTCTTATACAGAAATATCACTACAGATAGTTCTTTTTTTCACAAGCAGCAAAATTGGCAGTTTATTTTTACTTAATAGATACTGGCAGTGTAGTTTGGAAGTGATAACAGTGATAATGGTATCTGTGTTTATTCTGTGGAATCAGGCATGGTTATCAGAAAATACAGCTCATGCCAGCCTTATTCATTTTTTTTAAGAAGGTCAACTGCTCCATGCTTATGGATGACAGTCTGATGCACTTTTGTATAATGACTTTCTCTGTCCTCTGGAAGTAGAGCTTGGTGAAGGGATATCCAGCCCAATGCTGCTAAAAATAACAGAGAACAGACCTGGCAGTAATACAGAAGTGGTCTGGGACCTGTGCAGTAAGTTGTAATTATGTATACATGGCTTCCACACACCATCGATGAAAAGGGGGCAATGGCACCAAATGAACACCAAAATAAGGGACACTCAACCCACCTATGGAGGCACAGAGCATACTGACCTATCATAGAGGCATACACTGACCACCAAATATGAGGGCACAGTGTTCATTGACCCCCAATGGGGCATACCAACCACAAAATATTACAATGCAGTGCACAGTGGCCACCTAGCATAGGATACAGTGCACATGGACCATCTATGGGGCACACAGACAACCATATATGGGGTACACATTACACACTGA